TCGTGGGGGACGGGCTGGCCTCCTGAACCCGTCTGTGCCATAAACATCATACGGGCGAGAACAAGAAAAGCGTATTTGCAGACAAATATTGCCAGTGCTATCGGTTTATTTCTGACCATTCCGTTTCTCAAGGAAACAGGAAATGTAAGAGAAAAGGATGTTTGTATTTCGGCAGGGCAGGTTCAGTTGGATTTTTCTAAATATGCTGCCAGTATTTTTCCAAGAAACCCTAAATGTAGGAGGAGGTGATACAGAGAGTTCAGAGGTGGGATTCGAAGGGCAGAGAGCGTTACACGGGCCTGAGCCCACAGACCTCATCTGTGTCATGGGCTGACCCATGAAGGGAGAAGGCAGATGGGATCTGTATCTTGAGCACCTGGGTGGGTGGTGGGACCACTGACTGATGTCAGGATTTATATAAGAGGAAAAAGCATTTCAAAGAAGTCCATGAGATCACTGGGAAATGTTGAGTTGGAGGCACCTGCAGGACCAGGGGCCAAGGTCAGAGGGAGGTCTGTCATGCAGGAGAGGCCTGAGGGTTCATGATGAACAAGGGTCACAGACCCACAGCTTCCACAGTCTTGTGAGGAGGTCAGACACTTGTCCAGCAATCGCACAAATAAGTTTAAAAATGGCAGACGTGCTAAGGAGAGAGAGGTGAGCGCGCACGACCTACACAGGCAGGGAGGTGAGAAGTGACATTGGGGAAGTGACATTGGAGCTGCCACCTGAAGCAAGGATAGGAGGAGCAGGGGCAGCATTCCAGGTGATGAGAACAGCATGTCCAAAGGCCCTGTGGCCAGCGGGAGCCAGGCTGATGTCAAGGGCAGACAGAAAGCTGATAAAGTGGGTGGGGACCACAGGTAAGATGGGGTTGGGGAAGCAGGCAGGGGCCAGATCCCACAGAGCCCTGTAGGATTGGCAAGGCGCTGTGTCTCAACGTTGTTTTCTCTTTACAGGCTTCAGGCACGTAGGTGGCATTTTGTAGATCTGTCACCACATTAAAGGATTAGAAAGGATTGCCAAAGGTCGTCTTGTCTCTCCCCCTCCCTCAGACAAGAGCGCCATTATGTGCAATCCCTACATTCCAAGGAGATTGTCAGATGCTGCAATGCCAAGGTTAAGGCTTATCAAGCAGCTGTCAGGATGTCTCTGGTCTCCCTTTTGAATGAATCTTTTTTAAATGCCTATAACAAAGCCCGTCTCCGGGCTGCCCCATTTCTGTCAAACGGGTCATCACTCGTCCTGCTCACGACCTGGGCATCAGGCTTCCTTCCTCTCGTCCCTCCCCTGCCCACATCCAAGGAGTGATTGAGTCTTCTCAATCAGCCTTTGACGTCCCCTGGCCTAACCTGGTCACCATGTCCCTGAGGTCATAGATGTGAAGGCATGGGAACTGGTATGGATTGCCATGCTGCTTGTGCCAGGCCTTGGGCATCCTCTAACTCCACTGGCCATGACCAGTTAGTAGCCCACATCTGGATTTCAAGTAGTGAGTACCTCCTTTAGACCCATGGCCTGGGCAGACCTCTCTGGGGACAGAGCATTCCACGGAGACTCATTATGAGAAGGGACTGGCCTAGAAGAGTGTCAGGAAGAGTCTTTCAGAGAAAGGCAGTGGCATGTGCAAAGGCCCTGTGGCAGGAGGGTGGGCCATGCAATAAAGAACTGAGAGGCCCGGGGGTTGGAACATAGCTGGTGGGCAGAGGTTGGATGGGGAGGGGGAGAAACAGATGATGAAACAGAGAGGTCAGTAAGAACTGGACTAGGCAAAGCCTCCTGGGCATGGCACAGAGGTCCAGCTCCTCCTTGAATCTTCCCAGACTCCTTGGATCCTTGATTTGCTCCTCCAGGCTCGTCCAGGCCTTGCCTTCTCTATCACTGAGCCGGGGTTTAAATCTCCGGAATGTCACGGATGTAGAGGGAATTGCCTCCTGCATCGGAAAGTGGCCCCAATCCCTCAGGTCCCAGCTCCCCCATCCCCAGGTCATGAAGACGAGGTTGACACAGTGCTGATCTGGGCTCGCCCTGCTCTGCCTCCAACCCTCCCCTCCCCCAAGAGAATGCCCAGCCCGGGCACTGGGCCACCCCCACTGGTTTTTATTTCTTGGGAGAGCTGAATAGGGCCCTTATCTGGGTGGGGATCTCTGGTTTCAAACATTGATCTGCCCCTTCTCACCGGATGTTAGGCTGCTCATGCCACTGGGCAGAGCTGAACTCTGGGGCCCCCGGGGCATGTGAGCCGGGACAGGGAGCCTGTGAGAAGCTGGCGCAGGGCTTGCCATCCCCAGGGAAACTAATAAAGCTATTGTTGGGAAGGGAAGAGAGAAAATAGCCGACAAGATGTTTTTTGTTCTCCGTGACCTGCCAGTGTTCAGGAAGGGCCTGGCATGTTGCAGTTGGGAATGGCCTTGGAAGCCCATTTGAACAGCTGGGGAAGGGAGAGGGCTGGGGAGTTGAGACGAGACCTGGGTAGCAGGGATAAGCCCTGCCATTCTAACTGTCTGACCTCGGGTACATGACCTGCCTCTGATGTCTCCTCTATCACATGGGGAAAGGAAAGAATGCTAACAAAAAGGGGTGGACACAAATAGGTTTACAGCTGTGAGTACAGAAAACACAGAGTTTATTCCCGTATTATTATTTATTAATTATTAGAGGCCTGGTGCATGAAATTCGTGCACAGGGGGTGGGGGGGTCCCCTCAGTCCAGCCTGTACCCTTTCCAATCAGGGATCCCTCTCACAATCCAGGACTATTGACTCCCAACTGCTCACCTGCCTGCCTTCCTAATTGCCCCTAACTGCTTCTGCCTGCCAGCCTGATCACCCCCTAACCACTCCCCTGCCAGCCTGTTTGCCCCCAACTTCACTCCTCTGCTGGCCTGGTCACCCCTAACTGCCCTTCCCTGCAGGCTTGATCACCCTCAACTGCCCTCCCCTATAGGCCTGGTCCCTCCCAACTGCTCTTCCCAGCTGGCCTGATCGCCCACAACTGCCCTCCCTTGCAGGCCTGGTCCCTCCCAACTGCCCTCCCCTGCTGGCCATCTTGTGGTGGCCATGTTGTGTCCACCTGGGGGCAGGATCTTTGACCACATGGGGGCAGCCATCTCGTGTGTTGGAGTGATGGTCAATCTGCATATTACTCTTTTATTAGATAGGATTGTGTTATTTTCCATGCAAACACCTATAAACCTACTTTTGCCCACCCTGGTACATAAAGTGCCCGGCACCATTCCTGGCTCTTACAAGACGCTCAGTAAACGTAGCTGCTATTAGCCTGGGAGTTGCTGTGGTGAGTGGACTCACCCAGCATGCCACACCATGGCGCCCACTTTCATCTCTTGGACTCTAACAGGTGACTTTGGAAACCTGTCCGAATGTCTCCAAGTTCTGCCGATTCTCCCCTTGCAGGGCTCTTGGCCTGGCCTCTAAGAATTAAGATATTCATTAATAAGGACCTGTGGACCGATGGTTAGTGGTAATTCCTAACTGGCAGAGAGGGAACTACACAAATGTCCATTAATAGAAAAACGGCTGAAGAATTGCAGCCTGTGGAATAGAGTGAAGCTGTGGAAACCATTGGGCGAGGAGTGTACCTACTGGTGTAGGACAGGGGCTGTGCATGGTGTGATGGCAAGTGAAAAGAGCCATTTGTGAGAACATAAGTGTCAGCTTCAACCATGTATGTGTGTGTTTATGTGCATGTTTGCAGAGGTTGAACGTGATGAGTGATGGGTAGGAATGCACACCACGTACACCCACAGGTAAGATCAGCCAGGCAGGCTGGGGAGAGGGGGAGAGAGATGAGGGGAGCAAGGGAAAGGTGGTGGCAAAAATAGAAGAAAGAAAAAAAAGCTTAATGCATAATGTTAAATGAGGAGACAGGTGTAAAATTCTATCTCTAATATATTGCAGAGTACCCATCTTGTAATTGGACCTATAAATGAGGATTATAAAGTCGTGTGGACCAATTCATGGATTTGATTAGGTGATGAGGTTGTGAACAGTCCTCTTCTTGAATGCCTATGGTCATCTGAAAACTGTTATTTCCATTTTAAAATGTTTCACGGTCCCCATCCCAGTCCAGGCCCAAGCAGCGGCACTTCCTGTCAGTTTTAATCAATTCAACGTCCATGTCTGGCCCTTCGGGCTCTCCTGATACAGTGCGTCCTGTGGCTGGCAGGAGGTTTCCTGTCCCCAGACTGAACTACTTCCCCAAGGCCCATCCAAGCCACATGTACTCCTCCCTTCAGCTTTGAAGACCCCCAATAATCTGGCCCCAATTTGCCTCTTCCTTCTCCCGAACAACCAGATTCCGTGTCAGATGCCTCTCCTGGGCCAGCAGTGTTCTGGGAGCTGGGGGTGCAACAGGGAACCAGCAAGGCCAGTTGGAGATCACACCGGGCCCTTGCTCAGCACTGGTGAGCGTGGCCCCGTGGTCTTGAAACCTCCCAGGTTGGCCTGGAGAGGACTTGGGAGAGGGAATGAAAATTTCCAGAAATGTGAAAGGTTGTTGGGGAAATGACATAAGGCAGCTTATATAACAGGAATAACAGAGCTGCCATCCATTGGGTACTCACCACGGAAGTGCTTCGCATGCTGTAACTCACTTAGTTCTCACAGCAGCCCTATGGGATGGGGACTCATCATCCCCATTTTATAGACAAGGAAACTAAGGCACAGATTCATGTAGTAGCCTGGCAGTGGTCACACAAGCCAGGATATGAAACCAGTCAGTTTGCTTCCCTCTGCCACGTCTCCGATTGGTGGATGCCCCAAGCAGACAGGTTTTAAGGGTGGGAGCTTCCTTTGGAAGCTAGAAGTGTCAGCATTTAGGGCATTTGAGCCGCGGCAGGATGGCCACCTGTCAAAGCATCCTTGTGGGAATTCCTGGGGCTGTCAGGTGACTGGATGTTCTGAATGTTTCACGGGCAGCACCCAGAGCCTTGGTGAAGATGCTCTGAGATGGTAATGCGTGCTTTCCTCTTGTCTCTTCCAGCTCACGGCACCGCACTTCCCCGTGGTGGTCAAGCTGGGACATGCCCACGCCGGAATGGGAAAGGTATGAGAAGCAGCTCATACTCATGTTCATACTCATACGGACGCCCTGTTCCCCACTCTGTCTGTCCCCCACCACCTCCAATGCACTCCCACTCCTGCCCAGCCCCCTTCCTCTGAGCTCCCAGAGCTTGGAACCTCTCTCCTGCTCTGTCCGGACTCGCCGAAACCAAGCTGGAACAGCTAGCTAATTGTCTCCTGTGCTGTGGCTTCAGAGTAATGAATGTAAAGCATCTTGTACAAGGTGATTCTTTTGTACCTGTCATTATCTGTGCCGTGGCTGGCTGTAAGCTCATGGCTTTGTCACCTGCCAGGCTAACATGTAGAATGTGGCTAATACATCGGGCTCCATGGAGGAAGTCCCTGGAGCCAGTTAGCTTCTGTGAAAGTAGATTATGTATTTTACACCATCTCATCTGACAGACATATTGGTCTGATTCTTCCCGTTGCAGATATAGAAATGGTACTCACATTTGAGGGAGAGAGGTAATTCACTGGTATGAGCCATCAGGAAGTCTAAAATAGTTTGTGAAAGATAAGGACAGTGCTGGATTCAGGAATTCAAGTGATACTGACAGAGCTCAGGCTCCTCTATCTCTTCACTCTGCTCATCTCTACTTGGTGTGTTCTTCAGACAGTCAGCATGGCTACGGGTGGCCCACGTGGTCCCTAAGCATCTCTATGTCTGACCTCATGGAGGGGCCTTGATCGGCCTTGCTTGGGTTCCTGTGCCCACGCTGAGCAAGATGTAGTCAGCCCCACTCAAACCATACTGATTGGGGTCTCCACAGGAAATGGAGATTTACTCCTTGGTAAGGAAGCGGGAGTGTGGGGAAGTGGTGGGCAGTAGCTACCACAGGCCGCCTCTCAAACTTCTGGCACCAATAGAACCACACAAGAACATGTAGGTCTCAGCGCCTGCCATCCTTGTTGGAAGAACCTGAGCCCAAGCACCAGGTCCAATGCAGGGTTCCTAGGTCAAGGACAGCAGGAGCCAGTAGCAACCTTGCTCTGGGAAGGCCCACCCAGCCACAAGTAATCCTGCACCTTACACCTTTGTTCTTCCCCACTCCGTGCTCCTTCTGCATCATCGCTTCCCAACTAAACGCCATCCCCTTCAGGCAGCAAAGAAAGGAAAGAGCCCAGCAGGTCAGGCCATGACCCCAGCTCTGATGTCTTGAATTTGAGCCAGTTACCCTCTAACGTCCCTTGCCTCCTCATCTGTGGAATGATGACCATTCCAATGATCATCTTTAAACTGAATCTCCCTCCATGCTACGTCTCCCTACAGAGTACACACTGTGGGGGTGGGGCTTTGCCTGTTTGCCCCACCACTGTACCCGTTAAGCGGCCCTTCCGGTTGTTGGTGGACTGAATGGATGAGTGAACCCTGTTTTGATATATCCCTGTGTCTGTTCCATAGCCTCTCCTCCCAACCCTGAAATTCTGTTGAGGATGCCCTCCCCTGATCCTGAATAACCTAACCCAGTGGTCAGCAAACTGTGGCTCGCAAGCCACATACAGCTCTTTGGCCCCTTGAGTGTGGCTCTTCCACAAAATACCAAGGCCTGAGTGAGTCAATTTTGAAGAAGTGGCATTAGAAGAAGTTTAAGTTTAAAAAATTTGGCTCTCAAAAGAAATTTCAATCACTGTACTGTTGATACTTGGCTCTGTTGACTAATGCGTTTGCCAACTACTGACCTAACCCAACAGGCACTTCTACTGAATCGAGCTCTCTATATCATTTAAATCTGCCGCCATCCCTTCTGTCCTGAAGCCCTTCCTCCAGGGAACTCCCGGCTCTCCTTTTCTCTCTCTGACCACTGTTTTTGTGTCCTCCCAGGACCTTCTTTCTGCTCCATCTCTCACCATCTATTCTGCACTATCTGAGTGCTCATCTGCTCTCCCATCGTCAGCGGCATCTACACGCCAACAGCCCGCCCCCAATCACACTTCCTATCCAGAGCACCAGACTCACACCTAGTCCCCCCTCAGCATCTCCACCTTGTCTCCCATGGAAATCTCAGACTCTACACAGTGCAGACCGTGCCCATGATCTTCCCAGATACCCTGCTCCCCCTCCTCCTCTCATGACCGTACCTACAGCAGAAACCGCCAGTCCTCCCATTGTCCCCGGGAGCCATCACCTCTCCTCCTCCATGTCCAAACAGTCATCAGGTCCTTACTTGCCCGTTATCAATGTCTCTCCAACTTGTCCCTTTCTTCCTACCCACTGCCACCATGTTGGACAGTTCTTGTAACGTTAGAGGGTTCCCAAGAATTAAATTCTGTTTCTAAAACTTAAAAATCATCCCAGACAGGAAATAAAAAGAAGGAAATCCTTAAAGAGACTGACACGGTGCTGGGGGGGTGCGGGACGTGGAGGTGGATGCCTCTGAGAAACGCAGGCCCAGAGGGAACTCGGAACACACGGAAAGGAGGACGCATCTCCAAGGATGGAAAGCGTCATCAACCGGAATAAACTGAGGTTTAAGAAAATGCTGATAGCAAGGGAAAGGGGCTTCCTCTGGCTTTTTGGAATGAGAAAACTGTCAGAAACAGTCTGGACACGCCGACTGAGCAGATGATGTCATAGTCATGGCCAACAGAGAGAAAAACAAAATTGCTACCTTCTACGGTAGTTCCAGCTCCTCTCCAGAAGGGAGATTGTCTGCAGCCACGCAGAGCACCTTCTGGGGAGAAACTGGCAGAGGCTGCGGATGGGCTCAGGGTTGCTGGGTGCCCACCTGGCGCCCTGTGCATGCGATCGCTAAGCCATCCATCCTATTTCTCCTCTGCCCCTATGTGTTGATCGGGGCCTTCTCTGTGCCAACCATCAGAGGGTGAGTAGGACCCAGTCTCTGCTCTCACTGAACTGGGGAGATGGTCACATAAAGGATTACATGCAATGTGTGTTGGCGATCTGGTAGAAGGCTGGACAGGGTCATGGGTCTGCGGACTGAAAGGTCCCAGGTTCGATTCCGGTCAAGGGCATGTACCTTGGTTGCGGGCACATCCCCGGTAGCGGGTCTGCAGGAGGCAGCTGATCGATGTTTCTGTCTCGTCAACGTTTCCAGCTTTCTATCCATCTCCCTTCCTCTCTGTGGAAAATCAATAAAATATATTAAGAAGAAGAAGAAGAAGAAGAAGAAGAAGAAGAAGAAGAAGAAGAAGAAGAAGAAGAAGAAGAAGAAGAAGAAGAAGAAGAAGGAACTTCATTCCATTGAGGGGGTGGAAGGTTGGGAAAAAGCTTCTACCTCAGAGGAAATGTGGGTGGTTTGGTGTTTCTGGGAATGTAAGGAATTCTAACAAAGAAGAAAGACTTGAAGGAAAAAGATGGATGAATACTCTCTTTTATTAAAACAGTGTGATAGGTGTCACAAGGCACAGGAATCAAGCACCGGGCAGTTTGGGAAGCACTTAGGTAGGAGGATCATGGGGAACACCAGGAGTTCTTCAGAAATAAGTCCAACTAGACCAATGCTTTGTCTGAGCAGAGGATGGTTCTGGCCCCCAGGCGGCATTTGGCCATGTCTATACACAATGTGGGTTGTTACAGTGAGGGGTGGGAGAGGTTCTCCTGGCATCCAGCATCCACCAGGTGGAGGCCAAAGATGCTGCTGAACATCCTCCATGACCTGAGACGGTCCCCCGCCCCCAACAGAAAATTATACAACCCACATTGTCAGCAGAGTCAAGGCTGAGAAACTTTGGACAAGACTAATTTCATTTCCTTTTTCCTTTGTTGAAAGTTTTACCAGACTGTAAACCAGAAGAGGCAGTCATTATTATAGAGTTCAACATGCTCCAAAGTCTGTCCCAAAGAATTACAATTATAGGTTTGAAAAACTCTGTGTTCAAATAAATCTTATTGCAGAACTTCTCAGAGTCATGAATTTTGTTTATGTACATTGTAGGGATAAAAGAACATGGAAAGGGTGAGCAGGATTTCCCAGATTTGCCTGACCATTTCTTTATTGAGATATTTGTTCTTTTATTAATTTGTAAAAACTCTTTGCATATTAAACACACTAATCTTTGGTCATAGATGGCAACTATTTTCCTCCATTTGATAGTTACATTTGCATTTCATTACTCGGTTGTTGTTTTTTAACCTTTAAAAAATGTAATCTAGTTCAATGTTTCCATCTTTGGGAGGCCTTATGTTATAGTTGCAAGTGGCATTGATTTGAATCTAGGTTACTCCGCCTGCTGGTTATGACACCTTAGGTAAATTACTTAGCCTCCCCACCTTAGTTCCTTCTGGTATAAAGCGAAGATAATAGTATCAAGCTCATAAACTTGTGAGGATTAAGAGACACTATGCATATCAAGCTCAGTGCCTGGAACCCAGTGGGCTTTCAATAAATATTAGCTGCCTTTACTATTAAGAATGTTCAGCCCTGACTGGTCTGGATCAATGCCAGCATCGGCCTGTGGACTGAGATGTCCCAGGTTTGATTCTGGTCAAGGGCATGTACCTTGGTTGTGTGCATATCCCCAGTAAGAGGTGTGCAGAAGGCAGCTGGTCGATGTTTCTCTCTCATCGATGTTTCTAACTCTCTATCCCTCTCCTTTCCTCTCTGTAAAAAAAAAACAACAATGAAATATATTTTTTAAAAAAAGAAAGAATGAATGTTCAGACTTGCTCTGGGGCACAAAACCCAAATGAAACCCATCAGGGAGGTATGACTAAGCAACAGCATCTGTCAGAGACAATTTCATTTGGCTGCCACTTCAGTGTGCTTCAGATGAGTAAGGAGAGGCCAAAACCTCTACTCCATAAATACCTAATTAATAGATGAAAATGGGATCAATCTTGTGACTCATTAGGGAAATGCAAATTGAAACCACAATGAGATGCTACTATACAACCATCAGAATCGGTAAAGTTGGAAAGGTTAATAATACTAAGTGTTGACAGTGACGGAGCAGTTAGATCACACATACACACACACACACACACACACACACACGCACGCACGCACCTAGTCTGAATTGTAC